GATTCAAAGCCACTTCTCTGGAGTTAAGACATGGCAGTCACAATTAAAAAAATAAAAAAACCTGTTAACATTAACAGTAAAAGCAGGGCAAAGCAAAATTACAAACTCCCTCTGCCTCATTCTCTTAAAGCCTATTATTTTTGGAAACCATGACAAATCCTGTTGATTGAGCAATCTCTTGCCCTGAATCTTGACTGTCAGTCAGCTTCATCCACAATCCCTCACAACCATTCTTTCTCTCCTTCAAGAGTGTTGTTTTATCCATTTTTATCCAGCCCTCTTTCAGATACCATCAGGTCTAGTTCCAGGGATGCACATAGGACAGCAGCAAGGCCAGAGTGAATCCATATTCCAGCATCAGACAAAAATGTCCAGGTTATCAAAAAAAAATGAGGTACATTACCATTTGCTGAAATCAATCTGCAAAGAATGGTCAACAGTGAGATCAGTTGGACAGGCAGGATTGACTTTCACAGGATCTCCTCCAGCATTTCTCACAGCTTCCCTCATGGCAGCAAAATCCACCATTGCTGGAATTCCACTTTGAAGAAAAAACAAAGTCGTATAACAACACAGGACATTAGGTCACTGAAATATGCAAACTTTTTAGTTTCAACTCAAATCTAGACCTACCTAAGTTCTATTCCAGACAAGAAACCCCTACTACTCCATTATCCAAATTTTAAAGAACTTAAAGCATTTGTTAGAAGTTAATGGTATTGGTACTCATTCACAACACACAACAGCATATTTGAAGATAACATAACAAAAAACAAACACGGGAACAACTCAAGGATGAGCATTATATTTCTCTTTTGTCTTGCTATGATTCAGAAGTGTGATGGTACCTCACCACAAAACTAACTTTAATAAGGATCATTTATGATAAAACCTTATCATTTATGATAAAACCTTGCTATGCAAACAACACTCACACTATACACTTTAACACCTCAGCATATATTTTTACTCTTAGAGCCAGCCATTTCTGAAGCTCATAGCATTTTATAAAAATATTCTTGTTGCTACTATGTAGATAAGTGTACCTGAAGTACAAAACTGAGAGGACAAAGTTTGTGTAGCACAGTACTATACAAATCCTCCAGTCTTGGCCTGCTGAGCAGAATTTTTATTAACCACTTCATATTTGCAAATACTCAAATCACAAAGAAAGTTACAATCCCAAAAGACTTTTTTTTAAAAAAAAAGTATTATTAATGGATTCAATTGGATTACATATACTTTTGGAGTAAGCAATATTTAACTGTTAGTTATCTCAAGCAAGAACTCTATCCATTTCAATGTACCATCAGCCATCTGGCTACAGCCAAAATGTCACCACTTTTGTTTGCATTCTGGCTCTTACCCTGTCAGGCATTCCTTGTAGGCCAACAGCGTCACCCTCGCCAACCTGCACTAAAACCGGGGTGTCCTAAGAAACAACTTCTATCCTTGCATCACACGTAATTATCATAAGGAAATCTACTGGGCAGCAGAACAGGTTTTTATTGAGAAAAAAAGATGCTTCATTATCAAAAGACTAGGTGTGATTTATTTTTAAGCCAAAGAACTGTACATACAGTTTACACCGATTATTTTGGTGATTCTGGCACACGCACACACACACACACTTACGTGAAGTCTTGAAGAACAACTCTGGCAGGACAGAAGGGCACTTCAACATTGTTCTGTTTTGTTTTCCAGTCTAAGATGTTCATAGCATCTGTTTCTTTCACCAAGAAGCCATCACAGTTACGGATACTGGATTCAAACAACACTCGTATGGAGTAAGGCAGAGTTTCTAGGGTAAAGCAAAATAACTGACTTAATTAGTGCAACACCTTCAGCTTACATAGTTTGTGTTTTTAAAGAATCACAATCTTGTATTTCTAAAGAATTCTGCTTTGCTAGGGATCAAAAGGATGAGAGCTACAGGAGCCTGCTTTGCCAGCTGCCTTTGGGTTTGGTCTTCATTACACAATACGAACCGCGAGCTGCAAAAGAAGAGCTATCACATGGGATTTGAATGGAAGCTACCAATGGCTTGACCGCCCTGTGTTAAGACAGTGACATTTATAAGGTATGCTATGCTGGCAGGAGAGAGATGCAAGGGATCTAGAGCTGGGACTACTGATTGGAGTGGGTGAAACAATCAGAATATTCAAGAGTATTTTTAAACAGCAAATTTCATTACTTGAGATATCACACCAAAAGCATCCAATGCCAGACTTTTTTTTTTTTTAAATAAAGAGTGATATAAAGGCTAGAAACTATTCTGTCATGTGCCCTAAAATGAATCACACTTCATAAAATATAAAGAATGACATTTCACTCAATACAACTTGAGTTAGTTACTGATCTCTCAGTTAAGGCTTTCTAGCACATGAAAGAATTAGGGAACTGTAAATGAGAATGAAAAAGGCGGGGAAAAAAGAAGCAAGTGTCACTATTCAGTGCAAACAAAAAAGCCAAGATTAGCTCACATTTCTCCCCAAATCCTATTACTCTCAGCACCATTCAAGCAGGAAAATGAGTTTGAGAACAGTGAGAAATATTAAAAACCAAAGTTAGTTGGAAGAAGAGGGTGGTCTCAACCTAATTGAGAGATTTGTGCACAAACCATTAATATAGGATTTGCTGACTCTGTTCTCATGGTGTGTCTTTTCTCAAATTATTATCCACTGTTGTCTAATTAGACAAGTCACTCAAAACAAAAGCACCTCAAAAGCATCTCATCAACTATAATGTCACCACTCACTTTATTTAAAAGCCAAGTTACCAGGCAAAAATTATTTTGTTTTTTCTTAGATTACAAACCACATACAGTGCACCCTTCCTGTGATAAACTTAACAGTCCAGTAGTCTGCTTAGCAGCCATCAGCTATGGAGAAATGACAACTTCTCTTTCTCAGGCAGCAGCAAGCTCACATCTGCAATATTCTGTATAGTTTTGTGGCCTCCCAGGATACAGCAGAACACACACACCCAGCAAAGGGCCTTCTAAGATGGTTATGAGGCTGCTGTACCGGACACAAAGGAGCAGGCAAGGAGACATGAGTTTGCTCACCCTGAGATGAGAAAGCTCCATGAGCTAACTGTAGTTGTCCACAACCTAACAGGAACTGCGGAGAAGGCGAGGTCTGACTCTACAGAAGTGCGCAGTAAAAGGACAAAAAGAAGTCCGAAGATGCAGAAAGGGACACTGACTGGATACAAGGAAAAAGCAGTTCACAGGGAGAGTGGTTAAATACAGGGTCAGGAAAGGTGGTGGAATCTCCATCCTCGCAGATCTGCAGAACTCAGTCGAGAAGGCTTTCCAGGGGAGCTCCGGTTCCAGCAAGGGGCTGGACAAGACCCTGCCCCCTCTGCCCGAAATCATTCTGAGCTCTTTCTAGCTGCCATTTTCTCTGTAACTGAATACTGTTTTGAACACCAGGAAGTCAGATTCTCTCTAGTAAATTGGCAAATAATTAAATTAACATTTACATTAGTAATCTGATTAATTTAAACAAGCACTTATTGTCAGATTATAGTGAGAAGCTCCAAGGCAGAGGGCAAACAAGTAAAACTCAAAACGAATGTCCTAGCAACAAGTGCAGTGAACAATTCCAGATGCTGGATTTGCTATCAGCGCTGTCCCACACCATGCCTCAATTTTATTTAACATGTTGCTAATATGTAGTTAGTACGAGGCTACCAACTTCTGGACAGAATTTTCTGCTGGAAGACAGACACTCTTAGTCTAGTCTATTGAGACTCCTTATCCCAGTATCTTCAGGAATAGCCACTGCTGCTCCAAACTTTATGGCACATCTCAGCAGAAAGCAGTACTTTCTGTTGATATTTCCACTCCTGTCAAAAGGCTCTTCAAAAAACTGCTGTAGAACTGACTGGTTTTGTTACAACCACACCGCTGCTGCTTCCTGGACAAAGCCGCAAACAGAAGTGTTCTGCCTCCTTCCTATGCCCTTATCTGAAAGATTAACTTTGTTACTACAACTGGTAGAAATCTGCAAGAGCACAGACCTGTTGTACAAGAGTTCCAGCAGCCGTGTGCACTATCTCCCCTCTCTCTTCCCTTCAAACAACAGGGAAGTAATTGCTGCTGTCAAATAAGGGTTTTAAAGCGAAATACCCACCACCAATTGTTCAGGTAAGAGACAAATCACACATTCTGTGAATAAGTAAGAGTAATTCAGACCTTGCAAAATTGCCAAAAAAAAAAAATCCCAAATACTTCTAATAGGAACCCTAGGTAAATATTTTAGGAGTTTCACATGAGAATAAAGGGAGAGAATAATGGAAGTACGTTTTGATTATCTGCAAGCTCAAACCTTATTCCAGCTGACACTGATGTACAGCTCTCTCCATCTGCATGTATTCCCCTCCTACATCGTTAAAAAGCACCCAGCCACAGAGACCCAGTAGAAGTCTTCCTGGCACTTACTGTTACACTACATACTGATGACATGCTGAGATTAAGCAACTGTACGAACACCGCAAAACCTCACCTTTCTGCAGCAAGTGCAGTAGACGCTACGTTCTAGTAAGCACAGAGATATCTACTGTCTGAAGTTGCTGTTAAGGTGAAACCAGAACACCAAGAAGCAGTCCAAAATTAAAAACTGTATTTATTTTTGAAGTACTTCACAGGATTTTCCTGTCACTTCATTCTGATTTGGAGTGCTGCTGAAAACTCTAGCAACACCTATACTTTCTCCCTCACTGCAAAAAAGCTACATCAAGTATTGCTATCAACTTCATAATACAGTAAGAGATTGAAAAATAAGCTTTCAAATGCACCTATTAAGAATTCACATAATCACAATCACATCTAACATTGTATAGCAGTAAGTGGTACATGCTTACTGGTGGTACCACCCTAACAACAAACAACAAAAAAGCATCATTACCATACTTGGTGCCTCCAAGCTTTGAGACATTGTAGAACTTCTTTTGTGGGTAGTTTCCTAATGCTTCAATTATGGGCTGGTAAGGGCTTCCTGGGAGGAAAAATAAATAAAAAAAAAATCAATTTACAGATGTAGAAGAACAGAGAGTTTGAGCACTGATACAGGTAATGGCAATAGCTTTTAGTTTCTCATTTTACCAAATACAATGCTCCTCTAGGACTGTAAATAAATAGGAATATGGGAAGTTTTTTAAATGGATTGAGACACATAACGACATGGATGTGTGACTAAGATGAATTTTAGAAGTATCTGTAATGCTAGCTATATACGGGTCATGCAAGTCATCAGCACAGTCACACACCTCAATATATTTGACCTTTATTGTCTTAGTTTACCATCTAGAAAGTAGGATAAATGCACCTCACCAACTCAGAGGAGAGATACGGGTTTTAATACAATAGAAAATATAAAGACTTAAGTGCCACACTAATGACAAGCAAACCAGAGACAATAAACTCTGCAACAGCTATTAGGTGGTGTAAATAAATAACGTTTTAATTCAGTTGCAAGCAAACTAAAGGGTCAGTGCCAATGACCTACTCTCTGAGGCCTAAAAAACCCTTCATATAATAAGAGGAAATAAAATCTGGATCACAAACAGTGGGGAAAATGGTGTTAGCTCTCACATCACCGAGCTGCTCTTGTGAGCACAAGCCCCACACGCAGGATGGGCAGCACAACACGTACCCTTTGTTTGCTGTTTACTTTGATCTTAATACCCAGCAGTTACCTTTCCATTGCAAAGCAAACGCAACGTCAGCAGCAGCTCACAGAAACTGCGTCACTTCAACATCTCAACAATTTACATGACAATTCCCCCCCCCTCCCCAAATTAAGCCGAGACCGTTTAGGCCTCGGCCCTACGAGCAGACTCCCCCGTGGGCACACCCCTCGCTCGCCGCGGCGTTTGCGGCGGAGAGAGCGGAGACAGGGACAAAAATGGTGGCCAGGAATAACGGGAGGCCCAGCGGG